AGCTCCAGATCCAGCTCCTGTAACCAGTCAGGACACATCTACACAAAGAATCTGAAGACCAGCTCCTGTAACAGGTCAGGTAATCATTTTCTTTTTCAGGTACGCAAGCTCTCGCTAAGGAATCTCTTACGCGATCAACATCCAGATGGCATCGATAAGCCCATCCACCATCCATCATCTCTCAGCACGGCATCTATAAGCCCATCATCCTATCCATCTCCAAATGGCATCTATAAGCCCATTCCACCATCACACTACTACTATGTGAGCGCAAATTTCTGGGCACTCTAGTGTTCAATCATCTTCCACCTTCGGATTACGAAAGGAACGTCAGCCAATCTGCATCCTCAAGTCTAAGAAGATTGAACAGGGGCAACTGTTGTACCCCAAAATTTACCCTCCCATATTCTTCAAAATTTGCCAAGTCAAAGCTTCAAAATCTCCCCAAGGGTTGCACAGTTCAAGGGCCTCCTAACAGTAAAAAATTAGGGTTTTGGTTCTGACAAAGAAAATGAAGTTTCCAAGGGTCCAATCAAGTCCCACATGCTTATAAACATGGTCAAGCATCCTCATACCAAGTTTCAAGACTTACAGCACAAAATTGCACAGTCAAAAACCCTAATTGCCCTACAGTCAACTGCAGGGGCAAAATGGTCATTTGACAGTCAAAAGTTCAAATTTTTGGTCCACATCTCATTTTGAAGCCATGGACATCATTTGATCAATTCTTGATCATGATTCTCAAAGCTTGGCTCAAAAAGTCTCAAAATGCAAAAGTTTCCATATTTGGACAGTTGAAAAAGTCAACTGTAACTTGACCAAGGCATAACTTCCACATGGATTATCAGAAAAATTCCATCCAAAGCTCATTTTGAAGAGAAAGACATTTCCTACAACTCCTCTTCACACTTCAAGTCCAATAAATGCTCTCACAAAAAGTTATCAATTTCAACATTATAGGTCATTTTCAAAAGTCAACAAAAAGGGACTTTATGTCAAAGGCCATAACTTGAGATTGGTAAATCAAAATGACCTGGGACCAAAGGCATTGGTTAGAGGACTTCAAGACCTTTCCAAAATGTCCAAGAACATGAACAAAGCTTAAAAATTGAGCAAGATATGCCTTGTGGAAGTTGGGAAATTTTTGGATATTTTGAAAAGTCAACATTGCTTCAAATGTCTTAAAAATGCTAATGGGCCACATTTTCTTCCAAAATCCATCATCCAAGGCATGTGCACGACCATGTGGCCCAAAGGGAAGTTTTTCATCATTTTTATTTATTTATTTGGATTTTTAATTGCTAATAATTCATTTAATTAAAATAAATATGTGGAAAATACCAAGGCAAGTTTTTTAAATCTTTTTAGGCATGAAATACATTCAAGATTCGTGCATGATCAGATATAGAAAGAATCAATGTGATTAGGACATAATTGGTAGCAAATATGCATGAAAAGATTGGAAAATATATGCATGGAAAATCAAATATCATTCCATCAATGCAAGGATTCTTTGGACCAAATTTTCAACCCTAATCGTTCACATACTTATACTCATGCAAACCCTAGTGCTCATAATCTCTAAGCTGCGCAAAAACACCATAGACAACCTTGCATTTTTTCAAGAAAACTCAAATACTGAAAACATGTTTCTAAGGCTTTTCAAGATCAAATAACCACTCCATTAGCTTGCCAAGGTTACCAGGAGACTATTCCAATCAAGAACATTGTCCCATACTCAAGGAATTGGTATATCAAAGTCATACTTTTCACGAAAATATTCATAATCGTATCATGAATTCTATGCATTTTTCATGTGTTTTCTTTACTGATTTACACTAATTGATTGATTCTGAAGATAACCCTATAGTTTGATTGAGTTTTTATGCATTGTACGTGATTTCACCATTAAAGTCAGCTAGGGTTCTTCAAGCTCCAAATTGGGCATTCTTGAATACTGTAAAATTGGGACTTCCCAATACCATGACTGAACTCAGGAAGATTGGACGATTCTAATACACCCCTCGCGCCTAATTTATGTGACAATATGGGCTAATCGCTATTTCTAAAAAGGTTGTATTTTGGGGGGGGGGGGGGGGTTTAAAACCCCCGTTAACTCTTTTTATGTTTCAGGGAAAATCCAAACAAGGAAGAAGAAGAGTAGGTGGCACCATCTGGTTGGAGCATTTGAATTTCGCGCTAAAACCAGCCGCTAAAGCGCATCAATAGCTCCACTGGTCAAGCGTAGCACTGGTAACCTCTGGGACCTGGGTTCGAACCCCAGGTCCCCTTCCTCTCTCCATATTATTTTTCTAACCTTGCTTACATACAGCTTCAGTCCAAGCGTTCAACATACAACCCCTGATCCAAACATGCCACGCGCCCCATGATACCAACCCAAAGGTTCAGATCTGAAGAATATCCTAGGCCTCAGTCAATGCACACACACGCTAGCCAAAAAGTCAACAAGGCCAGGAAATTATTGGGCCAGAATTGCCAAGAAAACCTCCAATTTGGGGACAAAACCCCCCCTTGGTATTGTATTTCTTTCTATTTTCTTTATTTTATTTGTTTTATTATTTGTTTAATTCCATTATTTTCTTTTAATTCAATAAAAATTAATTTCCCATAAAAATACTGAAAACCAGAAAAGACAAAAATAAAATATTTAATTAATATTTTTGTAAATAAAGTCTCACTAATTAATTAGTTTTTTATTCTAGGATTAACTTTAATATTTTCCAATAAACTTAAAATTTGTAGAAATAGGGTTTTAATCAATTTTATCTTTTTCTTTTTTTTCTCACCATGATTAATTATTAAATATTTATTTTTGTAAATAAAATTGCATTAATTAATTAGGTTTAATTTTAGGTTAAATTTTAATACTTTTTCTTAATAAATAAAAATTGCAGAATTAGGGTTAATTAATTAATTTCTTAATTTCATTTAATTCTCTTATTAAAAATTCATAAATACAAAAAACCCTCAAAAATCTTTTCTTTTTTTTTCTTTTTTTTAATTTAATTAATTTGTTAATCTAATTTAATTTCATTAAAAAGGGTCCAACGCCCTCGCTTTCAATTTTACTTCAATTCGCGCATTTATTTCCTTTCTTATAATTTTCTTATGTAATTCTCCCAAAGCCGTGTAAATTTATATTTCTCGCACTTTCCTTTATTTTATGTCAAATCGGGTTCTGGATTAAATTTGGCGATGTGGACCCGCGCCTTTGTAATAGCTTAGAACTTTACATTTCTCGCAACTTTTTAACTGTTAATAAATCGCATGCAAGAATGAATGTCAAAATAAAAACAAAAGCGTAGATCACCCATGACATGAAAAAAGACAAAAATATCTGAAAACGACACACAAATCACACACCACCCCTAGGGTACGCCTCACTGTTGCCTTGCCTCGAAAGGTGATCGTCGAGTAGAGGATGTCTTAGTGAGTCCTCATGATTCGGGAACCTGGCATGAGGGTAGCTTCTAAGGTATCTTCCCATTGCTCTGGTGATCACCATGTCCCGAACCTCGAATTGACCCGAATACCTCCAACGGTGGTGCTACCTACCTCTCAATGGTGGGATGACACTACTTTAAAGGACATTTACACAGACGAATTCCTTAGGGTAGGTAGACGACTCTAGATACTTGCTCTAATTTCAAAACAAATCAAAAAATACTTTTCACACCGACACTTTTCAAAAAGCTTTCGAAAGCAATTTTTCAAACACTCTTGAGGACTGATACAAGAGTCGAACTGGAATTTTCAAAGAAACTTTTTAAAACCCACAGTTGAAAAGAAAACAAACCATTTTGAAAACACAAGTGAGCAAGTATCTAAGAGCCCATGGATAACCATGGATAGAAAGGGTGCTAACACCTTCCCTTTCTATAATCTACCTCCCGAACCGAGAGCAATCTCTATAAGGAATTTTTCTGTGCTTTTGTCCTTTCCAATTGGAGAAAATAAAAGACGGTGGCGACTCTTGCTTCCGCGACATTTCGCGAACCAGCGTTAAACAGTCAGTTCCAGATCCACCGATCACACTTACCATGTTCCAAGCTCGTACAAACCTTTGACGATAATGTTGGACATCATTCGCATAGTCGAATACAATACCCTAGATAAGCGCGTCATGGGGACCATCTCTTCGAGCATAACTAAATTGTCGTAGATCAAGAGAAGGGTTATAAGTAATATCTCCCCTAATGCCAAGGAGTGGAACATTAGGGAATTCCCCACAACAGTTAATGATGGTGAAATCTTCCAAAGATCGGGAACACCAATAAATATCGGAATGAGAGAGCAGCATCATCCTTTAAGACCACCTCAAACCTTGTTCATTCTTCAATATTGACCGGGGAAGGTTTAAAAGAAACCACCTAGATAGAAACTATATGCAACACATAAGAGCTCCTCTTCTACTCATGGTACGACTGTGGAGACAATGCAAAATGTCTTCGAACAAAGTAGGCACAAGGTTACGAGAAAGGAAAATCTTGACAGCATTCACATCTATGAGTTGGTCTGGATTAGGGAACAATACTAACCCATAGATGAGAAGAGCCAAGAATTCTTCAAAATCTTGCAAATCCATTGTCTCCCAAAACAGTCGATCCTTTTCCATCAAAAACTTAGCTAGAAAACCCTCGACTCCACTCCTTGTTTCCCAATTAGCTACAATGTCAGACCTTTTCAAATGCAAGGCCTTGGAATAACTTCAGGCTTTGGAGTTTCCTCTAAACTGGTGAATGGCATTTGATCGAGGATAGGTACTCCCAATAGCTGATAGAATTCTTCCATTGTGGGCACCAATTGGTAATCGGGAAAGGTGAAACAATGATGTACCAGGTCAAAGAACTGAAAGAGCACACACATCATGTCTTCTTCAAAGTTTGAGGTAGCCAAACTGAGTAGTCGACCGTATCTTTTGGTGAAGGGATAATTTTCATGAACCATTGATGCTAACTCTTTGAGTTGAGGAGGCACCCTTACGAAGCTGATTCGGATGGCATTTCTGCGAGTGGAAGCCATGTCCTACAAAAAAGAACAAAGATAAATCCCTAGATCCTTGAAATGGTTTAGTGAAAATGCTATGGCATGATGTCATGATGTTTATGATGTCATGAATAATTAATCACAAACAAACACACAAAAACTTTAGGTTTATGATTGCATGAGGTTTATAGGTGAGTACCCTCTTGAAGTTTAGTTGGTTCAACCTGTCCTAAAAAAAGAAGTAACTGGGTTCTAAGGAATCTCAATATCACTGATCTTTCTTCATCAGGAATTGTTTCAGTACAAGCCTCTGTTTTGGCGACCAGAATATCCCGAAAGTAAAATCTCAATGAGTGTAGTATTGAGTACAAACCAACATCAGTCTGCAGCAAAGCCAGCTATCTCACTACTTTCTAATGTCTAAGTTGTTCAACTAAGGTTCTACGGTCAGTTAATACTTCATGACACCACACAGCGTGACATCGGTACCAATAAATGTGTCACACTAATGTAGCCATCACTTCAACCATATTGGTCTATGTCGTACAATCTTCACGATCTATTGCTACTTACTTAAAATATCCCAGACCCGGGTATAAGATATATACAAGAAAAGCCCAAACAACCCTTTCAACATAAATTAGGCAACAAATAATGAAAGCATTTAAATATGAACTATCTCTAAGGTAAATCCACTTTTAGTCTTCCTCAACAGAGTCTCCAGTTCTATGATACGGTGGTAGAACTGACTTGGTGTTTTGTGTTTTATCGTAAATGTTACGGATAGAAAGAGTAGCCACAACTTTTCTTTTATCTAATAAAGGAAAGGGTGAAAAGAACAAGAAAGACCTTTTGAGAATTTTCTTGAGTTTGAGGGGTAGGTTATGAAAAGGGAAGGTGTTAACACCCTTTTCATCCGTAGTTATCTACGAGCTCTTAATTGCTAGCTCACTTCGAAATGATTTGTGTTTGTGTAAGTTTGAAAATATTTTGAAAATGCCCTCGTTCGGCAAACTTTGTAATGATTCTCGTATCGTTGAGAATGTATACAAAGTGTTGGTTTTGAAAGTGTTTGAAAGATGTTTTGAAAGTGTGAGGTGTGAATAATGTTTTGATTTATGAGTAAGCAATTACGAGCAATCTACCGACTAAAAGGATCTTTGTTCTTTTCCTCCTCCTTTAGATAGTGTTACTTTACCATTGGTTGGTAGGGAGCCATATCATTGGATGTGAGAGATAGGCGTGTGTCATCGTACAATCATAAAAGATAAATTGTGGGACACTTTAGCAATTTTTGTAAGGGACTAAGATCGTTTTACCGATGGCAACATCGAAGGGTCATTGAGGGACTACGATCTTTTTCTATCGAGGGGTATTTGCTAAAGTGTCCCATATTCGAGGGACATGACTTTTTTTCCGAGGCAACAAGCGAGGTTGCCCTAGAGGTGCGTGTGTGAAAAGTGATTGATTCAAGTTTAATTTGTCTTGATTAGGATTATCTAGAAGTTGATTTTAAATTTTTCCATACACGATTAATTACTATACAATGATAACTAAATGCGGTAAAATGCAGAAATTAAAGTTTTACGCTATTACAAAGCTTCGGCAATGGGGGTAGAAATTTATGAATGGGGATGAAGTAAAATCCTAATTAAACTATTACAAACCTTAAACAGTTACAATAATCGAAAGAATGCAAAAATAATAAATTACACGAAATTAAAAAGAAAAGGGAAATTGTTTTGTGATTTTACCAAGTAAGAAAATTAAATCAAATAACAGCTATGAACAAAGATTCAAGAATTAAAATTCTAAATAATATTTTTGGTATTTTAAAGTGTATTCATGAGTGAAGAAATTAAAGGTCCTAATAATACTTCTAAAAGAAATATATTTTGGTCTTTTGAAGTTTTGATAGAAAATATGAAAAGAAAATAAAAACCTATTCTATATTTTTTTGGAATTTTTGTTTATCATGAAGAAAATAAAACGATTAGAAGAAATCGACTAAACGATGTTAAAAATAGAATAAAATGTTAACTAACAAAATTGATTTATTCACAAAAATCTTAAACTAATTTTTAGAAATAAGAAAATTAAGAAAATTATCTAGTTAAGAAACTATATTGATTCTAAAAAAAAGGTTAATTAAACAAATAAAACTAATAAAAGAAATTATGTTTTTTGAGTTTTAAACATTGAAATTAAATGACAAAAAAATAATTAAAAGAAATAAAACAAAAAAAAACAATCGAAAATGGGGTGTAAAAGTGAAAAGGGTGTTATTTGGTTATAAAATTGGGTTAATGGCTAAAGGCCCATTATTTATTACTAAGAGGCGCTAGGGTGAGCTTAGCAAACCAGTGGTATGATCAGAAAAATAAGTTGGATTGCAATGTGGGAAAAACTGGAGTGGGCAAGGCCCAACGAAATTTTAAAGAAACAAAAACCCTAGATTTAATAAGGAAGGTAGCCGCTCCACATTTGTCCCAATTCACTTGTCTTGTTCTATTTTTTTCCATAAAAATTTCCTCCGTTTTCTTATTCCAAACCGAAACAGTAACATAAAATCCAATCTTGTTCAATTTACACCTATTTCCTCTCTCCCACCAATCTTTCATGATCTATGCTCTTCTCACCATCATCTCTTTCTCATCTTGCCTAAATCAAACAACAACAACGACCAACTTCTTAACTCGCGGTTCCACTTACAGATTTCTGTTCCATGATACTTCTTCCTCTTTGTTCCGTAAAACACCTCAACAACAAAATTTCTAATCGCAAACTCCCTCTGTTTCTCATCGATCTCAACTATCTTACCGTTATCTCACAATATATTCCCTCCGCCGTCAACAAACAAGTATAAACATGATGATATGAAGAAAATTGAGAAAATAAAACACTCACAGAACCGAAGCTAGTTCGATAGGATTTCGACTTCGACGGGATCCGGGTATACTCCTCTGCAAAATTTCGGGCTTGACTGGATTTTCTCTGTTTGAAATTATGTTTTCGTTGATATTGATGCGTCTGTGTTGACACTGTTTGTGTTTCAATCTGCATGAGCCATGTCGATATGTTGAAGATGATGTTGAGTTGTTACCGTAAAACAAATTGTAGGTTTGATTGATGAATAATTGTTATGTTGTTACAGGTTTATACATGTAAACATTTGTTGCTTGTGCGTTGCTGAAGGGTGCGTAGAGTGTGGTGTAGTTCTGAGTGAAGGTGTGAAATGTATATGGACAGTAAGGGATGGGTTTAAAGGATAAGCGTGGTTCTGAGGTTTGTTTAAGGGTAGGGTTTTATGCATGGAGTTTGTAATTTTGCAGTGAAGTCTGCTCGTGGTATGAAGGTTGTGCAAAGTTTCTACAGGTATTTTCAAGGTGATTTGAAGTCTATTTTGAGATGTTTAAGGGATGGGTGCGCATAGCTTTTTGTATGGATTATGGTTTTTTTTGTGTTATTGTGAAAGTTTTATAGTGAATGAAAATAAAGTTTTTTGAGGGAAAAAGATTGGGTTTAAACAAATATGATATGTTGTTTTTATGCTTTTCTGATTCAGGTTTTGTGTGGGTGTATTTTGGGCAATTTTGCAGTTTGGACAACATGCTTATGGACTGTTGTATGCAGGTTTTGCAGGCTGGTTTTTTCTATGTATATGGCAGCAACAGCATGGCTGTTTTTGTGCAGGTTATTTTGGCTATTTTGATGTAGGCTTTGGATAGTTTTGACCATTTTTTATGGACTGTTTTGATAGGTTTTGTAGCAGAGTTTTAGACATCAAAGTTTATGGCAAGGTTTGTGGACTGGTATAGTAGGTCAGTTTAAGAAAAGTCACGGTTTTTGACAATTAATGAAGAATTGAGGAAGTTTGAAGGAGCAAGGCATGAAGTTTTTTTTAAAACTCAATGGCAAGTTTAGCATAGGGTTAGGATTTTCATGTAACTTTTAAGTATTTCAAGTTTGAAACTCAAAAGTCTTATATCATGATGAATTCAATCAAAGTTTAGATTTGAAATTTATGTAACAAAACTCTCTTGATGAACTTAAGATGTGAAGAACTTGAATTGAATCTTGTGTTTGAATAAAACTTGGAAATTTGAACGATGAATGAAGTTGATGAATGCCTTGCCTTGAATTTAAGATAGTTTACATGAATGAATATTTTTTTCAAATATATCAAACTTGCGCCATAAGCATATTGATCCCTGTGAATATCCTGAACCAAAGACAAATTCATATGAATGAATTATGCCTCACATGCTTGAATTGAGCTTAAGTCGAAAGAATTATTTGAATGGATCCTCGAATCTTCTTCATTGAAATTCATATATTCAATTCATATTAACTTGAAATACGAGTCAATAGTACAAATCTTGCCTTTAGGAACTTTAGCCAAAATCCAACTTCGATCCAATAATCACTAATACTCAAACATGAGTGACTTGAATTATAAGCAAACGGCCAATCAAAGAATCTTCAAACTCAAAAATCTAGTTTCATGAATGATCTCTTCACAAGAATCAACGTCTTTGAAGAAACAATTATGGCATGGATTGAAGTTAGAAGTTAGAAACATTCTAAATCAAGAAAATGACCTATAATGTTTCAAGAGATTCCATGGCCTTCTAAGCATAATTTGATTCCGATCTTTGGTAAAAACTTGTAGAGGACATCGTCAGTGATAATGTGAAAAAAGAATCGCCTTAAAATGTTAAAAATTGAGGAAGTTATGATGCATGGAAATCGGGCAACAACTACTTGAAATTAAGTCAAATTCGTAAAATGACTTCTAAAGTATTCAAATTTTTGACGATCTTTTGCACATAATCTGCTCTTGACTTGTAAAGAGAAGTTGGATATGACCTCAAGGAGAGTCATACGCAAAAAGAACCACTCAAAAATATTGAATAATGAATAAGTTACAATCGTTTGAATTTGATCTTGAAAATGTTGACTTTTTACTCAATACAGATGATTTTCGGTCATCCGAGCAATTGAGTGAGCGAACTTGTGATGCAAAACATGAAATTTGATATGAGCATTCTTGAATACATATAAAGTACCATGAAAGTCACTTGAGACCTTGAAAATTCAATCTTGTTTGAGAAATACCAAACCTTAGTTGTGGATCAAACGCTTAAGAGGAGAATTTGTCTAATCAATTCTTGAGCCGTCTTGAACGTATGAGAACCTTAAGAGAATATCTTGAATGAAAAATGAGAGAACAAATTTTGAGATACAACAGTATATATCTACAGTAAAATGCTCTTTGTTATGAAAGGATAGGATACGAAAAGGAAGAATTACAGTAACCCCTATCCATGTTCAGTAAAAAGCTGCATTTCATATCATTCGTTTTGTATTATATAGCACAGCCCGTATATACACGTCCTCCTCCTACATGTAAAGTTGAAATTAATTTATCATTTTCCACCGCAAATATATTATAATAAAAATTCTTTTTTTAAAAGATTATGATGACAATTCTTATCATATACGTCTAGATCTTCTTCCATAATGTTATGGTTGAAAATATGTTTTTCATTTCAATGGAAACAATTCAGTTCAAAGACGCAAAACATTCCACTACAACGTGACGCTGAAATGCACCTCTAGAAGATAAGAATTAATCAATAGTTGAATTTTGATCATAATGTCTATCATCAATCATGACTAATGGAAAAAGACCGGGACAAATTAACGATTTCAAAATGTGTAATATATGATAAGCATTGGAACAGAAAATGTTACAATGACGTTGATTTGTGCTTGAAATATAACCTCCTACTATATCTTTAATATATTAAATCAGAATATATATATATATATATATATATATATATATATATATATATATATATATATATATATATATATATATATATATATATATATATATATATATATATATATATATACGTCAATTTTTTAATAAAATTTCGCTAAACAATTTTTAATTATTTTATTTTATTTTCTCTTCTTAACAAATGTTATTTAATATATTAATTAATATTTAATATTAATTACTTCAATTTATTATTTTACCACTAATTTTTATATACTTTCTCTATTCAATTAATAAAAATTCTATAAAAAAATTTGTACATATAATATCTATTCATAATTTATCTAATCATTATTTATCTAATGCATCGTACGGGATGACACTACTAGAACTAGTACTATTTCATGTTACAATCCTAAACATAAGTGTTTGCCAAATTTTGAACCACATAGAACTCAACCGACTTGTCTCATACTAATACGTGACATGATATAATTTGATGAGAATTTCTTAATATTCTTATAGGGTGTATTAAACCTCTGAAAACCTTAAAATATCCTTCGAAGATGTAACTTCGAACGCACCGTAAATGATAGTTCGGAGATGTATATTCGAACGCACCCTAAATCAATTTTTAAGGTGTTTCAGAAATGCATCTATGAAAATCCCTCTGTTTACAGGTTATTATTATTTAAACGTTGAATTTAGACATCCAATGATATTTTCGAATATGCATATCCGAAAATATTGTTGTTATTTCCGCTTGCTGCATGATCACCCTTACCACTATTTCATTCTCTTCATTTCTCCTCATAACCAAAACCTACCTCTATTGTATCGATATGACGAGATATGGTTTTTCGGAGACATTTTTTTCCACTTCGGAGGCGTCCACCTCAAGACCCATTCGCCCACATTATTTGTATTGAGTATCTTAAATCACTCCATTTTTCTCATGCTTATTTGAAACTGGAGTGTCCTATTCCGGCTACATCAGTGTAGTGGACGACACATTCTGCAAAAGAAGCAGAAAATTGGTCGGATCACTTTTAAAAAAGGATGGCAGAGTTCACAAAATTGACGGAGCTTGAGAGAGAATCAAATCGGGAGAAGTCGAAGAAAGAACCAGTTATAGATTTAAGTAATAACAATTTGTTCGATGCATTTTAGAATATAAGCGAACCATTTTTTGAATGTATTGTCGTGCACAATATAAATTCTATATGATTCAATACATATGTAATATATCTATTCAATATTTTACTACTGTTTACTTTTACCGATTTAATTTTTTTGCTAAAACAAAATATGTTACTGGTTCTACATAATTCATATACGCTTATCCGAAATAACCTTCATTTAAAAAAATAAATAAGGGTTATCTCAGATATGTGTGTCTGAAAGTTACTATTTAGTGACTTCAGATATGCATCTCCGAACCTATTCGATAAAAAACTGAAATGTAGTAAGTTTGAATATACATATATACGAATTAAGGGGATATTACATAAATTTCGCCGAAAATTCCTAAAAACTCATAATTTGATTCCTATACAAAAAAGTCTTATAGTATTTTTTTAGATTGTCGAGAGCGTAAGCCCAAAAAAACTTCAAAGATCCAAAAAAGACGATTATGAATATCTCGATTGTATTAAAAAGACATTTAATTTGAAATTTGGGCAGTCGTCAGGATGAAAAATTCTTTTTACAAAGATTAACTAATTTCATTTTTAGCGACAACATCAGCATACAAGTTGACCTCACGGAAAATATGCGCAAAGCGAAACTCCCTCCGTCTTGCTGTATGATTGAGAGAAGTTCCAGAAACATCAGCTACTGTTGGAACATGTCCATGTTTCAATATGTTTAATTTAAAAAATTTCTCAAGTCCTACATTGTTAGAATATCTTTTTGGTTGAAAGAAACCATTTAGTCCCACATTGCTCATGTGAGAAATATTAACTACCTTACTTCACTATATAAGTAGTGCACATGTTTCATTCCAAAATACACCAAAAACTATTCTATTAGTTTTTCCTTCCTCACTCTCATAACTATGCGTCTCTCGAATTGTCGAAGCGCCATCTTCTTCCCCTTTCTTCCTACTCGTTGAATTTTCCGAGTATTTTCTTGAATTCTCTTTAGAGAATTATGTTAATTTCTCCTCATTTGAGTTGAGAAATTTTCAAGTTTAATCTTTTGGATTCTCTTTGGAGAATTATTTGAATTTCTCTTTGATGGAGAAATTATTATGAGTGGTCAAATGACCATTATTAATTTCTCTTTGGAGAATTATTTGAGTTTCTTTTTGTTTGAGAAATTATTATGATTGGTCTTTGTACCAGATACTACGAGTGGTGTTGATACCATATTTGAATGGTCTTGTACCATCAGAGGGTGTATTTCTAGACCGATTATCTACCATGCAAGTAGTAATCATACAGTATAGAACTGGGCTGTTTTATCTTGGAGGCGGCGCGGTAGTTCGACTGCTTTGCATAATTTTGACAAGTACCGCGAAACGTCTTAAAGAGAAACCTAGTCCGCGACTCAACCTTGTAATTTCTTCGGTGGCAAATATTTCAAAATCTGAAAACAATAGCTACTACTTCTTTACCTAATATGTTTGAACCACCAACCTCCAATTCCTTTTACCAAGAGCAAAATTTAAGCTTTTCCACACACCCTAAAGTTTTGCTACTAAAGATTCTCCCCACAAGCACACATCTTTCTGCCCCTCTGCACCATTTGGAGGAGGAATATCAAGAATTCAATCCTAAATCTCTTGAGTGAACATACTTCTAATTTGAGTCCAGTCCTAATTTCCATTATCTGTAATGAAATCTACTACACTTGTACTACCAATATCTATAATAGACTGACCTGCATTTGACTGAATAACATGGTCATACAATTTAATTCCAAGAGCTACACAACAATATGCCATAGCATATATAGTCACACCACTATCCACGTCTCAGTATGACATATTTCCTATGATAGGCCACATACCACAACACTCTTCCAAAGACTAGAATCATAAATCTTTGCGTCCATAAATCTTCCATTAGTGTTACTTCTCTGATATTTTTCTCTTAACACTTCACACCAAGGATAATCCTCTTAATCTTGTACTTCCAACCCATCTTTGCAACACAAGCTTTGTTCATGTCTATCATTGGTTTTGCTATCACACTCCCTTATTATCTCCCTGAATAAAGCTTCTTTGGATTTTGTGAATCTTCTTCTAACATGTCTTGGGAATCATATTACTCATTAAATTATAGCTTGGTAATGCTTCAATAATATTTTTAGCTAATGCAATTCTCCCTCCAAAAGATAATTGGTTTTTCCTCCAGTTAGCTAGCTTGATTTTAACTTTCTCTAAAATATAGATTTAGTCATTCACCTTATGGCATCTACTTGTTACAGGTACTCCAAGATACATTCTAAGGTCGTTAGTCTCCTTGAAACTTGAAGCATGAGTAATTTGTCTTCTGGCATGTCTAGGGATGTTTTTAGAAAACAAAATGCTAGTCTTTTAAGTACTGATCTTTTGCCCAGAGACTTCCCAAAACCTGTTAAGAACATCCATAATCACCTTGATTCGATCTTCAGTAACCCTTCCAAACAGAAGGAGGTCATCTACGAACAGTAAATAAGAGATCTTATGACCTTTCTTACCAGCCTGCATATCATCCCACTTTCTATCCTCCACAATATATCTTATATATGATTGAGTTTATCAAAACAAAGCACAAACAGATAGGGAGACATGGGATATTCCTATCTTATACATTTCTTTGTTTCAAAATAATCACTCTTGTCATTATTCCAAAGAATCCTCATTCTAACAGAGGTGTTGCAAGGCATAATAATGTTTGTCAAGCTACAAGGCATACCTTCCTCTCTTAAAACTTCTCTCACAAAGTCCCAATTGATCATATCATAAGTCTTTGCAATTTTTACTTTAATTGCAAAAAAAACACTTCTTTCTTATAAGCGTATGCTTACTTGAAGAGTTTGCTATGCCACCATAATATTTTCATGTATGTTATTTTTTAGGGATAAATCCTATTTGGTTAGGAGATACACTACGCCAAATAAGCTATTTAATAGCGCTTTTTTTTGTTTTTGATAGCACTTAAAAGTGCTATTAACCGCGCCACTATTGTAAATATTTCTTATTTAATAGCACTTTAAAAGCGCTATTAAAGTACCAATTTATAATAGCGTTTTAATTAAAGTGCTATCAAAGTCAGTATTTTGCATGTTTTTTGTTTGTTTTTTTATAGCACTCTAAATAAAAAACGCTAATATATAACATATGTTTGATAGCGCTTTCAAATAAAGTGCTAATAAATGGTACATATTTGGTACAATATTTTTAATAAGTACAGTACAATATTTTTTCTTACACAATCTTTTTTTTGGTGTAAATATAAAATAACTATATTCAATTCAACACAAATAACGCTTTAAGTTACTCATTGCATATATATTATGATCCATCAAATACCAAATAACATTTTAAATTACCAAATCCTATTGTTTCCAAATATCATAACATATAGAATATTAAGAGGGCGTTTGCATAGCCAAATTTGTAGATGCCCATCTATGAGTACTTCAATCCAAATCCAAAAACATACAATCAAATTCTCTAAACAAAACACCAAAAAAATAAGAAAGGATAACAAAACAATCCCATGTAGTAACCACCTTCATGATCCAAAAGCGTTGAACTCATAGATACAATCACTAATTAGGCAAAATAATTGCTTCTTGTTTTCCTGTATCATAGAAGGAATATTGATTATGTATTGTACAATAAAAACTAATTCAACATATAAAGAATAATCAAACATTTAATATGGGTCTAACAAGAAGCGCATAAAATAAGGAATGATTATTATAAACTAATAACAATAATCTCGAGATTAACAAATTGGATACAAACATGATCTTGATAGAACACTAGGGCGAAATTTGATCCATGTGGCAGACCCCACTTAGTGGGATAAGGCTCAGTTGTTGTTGTTTTGCCTTAGGCTCTCACATATATAGAGACCATTACTGCAGCACAAAATGCCTATGTGACTACTTTGGCTAAAGATCGTCCTCAAGGATTTGAAGATCACATGGGATCAGTCAATGAGACTAAGTTGTGATAATAAATCTACAATCAATATTGTTCATAATTTAGTGCAGCATGACATTACAAAGCATATTGAAGTTGATAGACATTTTATCAAAGAAAAGTTGAAAAGTAGACTGTTTTGTACTCCCTAGGTCGATACTCAGGGTCAACTTGCCGATGTACTTCCTAAAGGGCCAAGCAGTACCATGTTCAAGAATATTGTATACAGCTTGGAATGGTAAATACCTATTCATCAGCTTGAGGGAGAGCAATTGAATGCTTTTTTTTGTAACAGACTGTCTGTACTGCACCTAAAACTTATATCCTTATTTTGTAACTGATGCAGACTTTATTCATGGAGTTAAATCTGTTTGGAGTATCAGTTAGCCACTTAGGGAACTCCATACATCATGGGAATCCCTAAAGTAACCCTTTCTTTCATCCATTGGTGTTCTGTTATGGATGAATAAAGAAAATTCCTATTCTTTAAAACTTTGAGAAATCAACATTTATTTTAGACCAAGATTTTTTTTTTCATATATAACTAGACATTTTGGAAGTCAGCCAAGTTACCTACCAAGACCGAGACACCAGGGTGAATTTTCAGGTCCTTCAGATTCAACTGCTAAGCCAACAATACTAGCATTCAGGCTGTAGAATACTTCAGAGCTTGGGACCTACAAAAGATATTCATAGGTCATATAAAATGTTTGATCACCTTTATATAAAAATAAATAAATAACTTTGAAATTTATATGTTCGATATTCTATTGAAAACCATAATATATTCAATATCTAAATTTATAATAAAAATATTTGAAATTCAAAGTGGATGAAATGCATACAGAACCAAGCATATAAAGGGTAGCTGATACCAATGTTAAATATTGGAATATTAGAAGCTGCATAACTGTAAATATTGGAATATTAGAAGCTGTGAAACCAATGTTAAAACTTACTTGAGGAAAAAAGTCATGGTAATCACGGTAAGGACGATTACTAACGCGATCAATGAATCCTCGACCGTGCCTGCGAGTATTCCAACCATTCCAACTGTCCAGTTTAGAGGAAGAACTCTGAATGTAACAAAATATCATTATTCTAAATCATTACACCGTGACAATAACAATCCTCCCCGAGTATATTTCAATTGAATACTCACCCGTCATGAGGTATACGACCAAAAGTCGGTTTAAGACCAACTACACCACAAAGTGCTGCAGGCATCCTTACAGAACCTCCCCCATCGACACCAAGAGCAATAGGACACAAACCTGCGGATACCACCGATGAAGATCCACTAGAAGAACCTCCTGCTATCCTATTGACATCATAAGGATTTCTAGAAGCCCTGTGGAGTGTAAATAAAAAAAGCCAAGCTCTTGTTAATACAAATCATTAATATATAGCTTAGTAGACAAGAAACCGAAAAATGTAACAAAAATGTGAATATAAGTACTATAGTATATATAACCCATGGTTTCTTACCCGTAATGTGGATTTATACCGCTAGTTCCCGCGCCAAGTTCATGCATATTAGTCTTTCCAACAAGTATGGTGCCGCATAATCTTAAACGCTTAACACAGCAAGCGTCATTCAGACAAGGCCTTTGTTTGTGCAGCCACTTTGTACCTCCTACATGACAGACACCATTTAAAGATGCTCAAATCAAGTGAGTAGAATTTACGAGCTAACACTACCTGTCGTAGGATATGGTAAACAGTCTATTTCATCCTTGATAGCAACAAGAACTCCATCAAGCACCGAGATAGGTTCCCCTGCAAGAAAACATGCACCAAATTAGTATCAGAACTCAGAAGAGAGTTGAAAGACAAGTCATTATCAAAATTCGGTTAACTTCTGACTCTTCTACCTGTATATACATTTTTACAAATTAACATAGCAATTAAATTTTTACAACTTCTGACTCTTCTCATTATCAATCACCCCGCTCTTATTGACGCGGGCAGCCTTCCACACTTGACTACGGTTTATCTCCTTGTGCTTTGATGATCATGTTCATCTTACAGCTAAGATCCATGACTGCATGAATGCAGAAATTCCAAGTCCTTACCAAACTGAGACTTCATTGAAATTCAATGCATTGATTACAAGAACTCATGAAATCTAAGTGTACCATCATCACCTTTTCCATTAGAACATATGCACAGGCAAGAAAATAATATAACAACAAATAACCAAAAAAACACCTTAAAAGATCTGAATAGACAGGTTCGCTCCAGCTCGCACAATCAAGTCCAAGTTTCTCAAATGCTGCAAGCACAACATCAAAATCAAAATCGAAAAACAACAGTTCGTTACACTCCATGAAAACAGAATAACACAAGGAGAATATGGTTATTTGTTGTTATAAAAGCTAAGTTAGAAAATCACCTGAAACATCTTTCCCCTGCAAATTTCTAGCTAGCTTTTCTAGACTTATGAATGTAAAATAACTACACCGAGTGACAAAATAGTTCAGCAATCAAGAATTAAACAATAGTTAAAAACTCATAAAACAGAGTAAACGAATCAATTTAACTTGCAAAGAAAAACCCTTCATTAATCATACCTGACATCAATATACTTGAAATACTTTGATGTTAGTAAATCAATCAAAAATTCAGCAGAACTAGCAGAGTGAATCTGATGAAGCAAAACAAAACAAAAATATCATATATCAAACTATGAGCACAAAAATAACAAAGTAGAATTACGATTAGAATGAGAAACTTACAATACTACTGATAATTCTGTTATACAACGAAGAATGAAAGGTGCCGCCATTAGCAACCTTCACAAACTCCATCAACGTATCCAACACAACTTCCTTCAGAGTTTCATCAGATTGATCCGATACAAGAACATCTATCAGAGATTTAAGAAACTCATCGAACTTCGAACAGAGCCAAGTGAGGTAAATGAACTCAGATTGGTCGGCATCGGCGTTGTCGGAGGAGGAGGTGTTGGCAGTGGCAGAGGAGGAAGGTAGTTGAGGGAGGAGAGGGAGGAAGAAAGAATGAAGAGAGAGAAGCGATTCGAGGACGTGTTGAGGTGGAGAAGAAGGTGAGACGAAGGTGAGAAGAAGGGGGAGGTTGTTGATGTTAGAGGCTGATGAGAGTAGTTCGTTACCTAGGGTTTTGAGTTCGGCGACGCCGTACTGCTTGGATTGAAAAGAAGAATCGATTAATTGTGTTTTGTTTTTTTTTTTATCAATTAATTAATTAATTCATTATTATATATAACATAGCGCTTTTTAATAAATGCTATTATATAGGTAGTCAAATAATAGCGTTTTATACAAAATGCTATCTTAAAGAAGTTTAATAATAGCGTTCTGGTACAAAGTGCTATCAAAATTACATAGTCTGTATTATATAATAGCGCCCGATTAAAAAGTGCTATTATAAATGTGTTTTTTCCATTTTAATAGCATTTTTTTTAAAAGTGCTATTAAATTAGGTGATACAAAAAATCATTTTTGGCGTAGTGATACCATACTATCCATAATCATTTTTAACCTATTGACAGTTATTTTCTTCAGAGTCTTATTATTCTGGACTGGGCCTGCACTTGACCCACACATCATACAAAGCCCAATCCAACTATGCTGCATGAGAAGGCCAACGGGAATGAGTCTCCCCTCGACCATGTCGGACAGTGATTCCACTCTTCTGCTCGACCAAGCTTTGTCCTTCAGGGATAAACCCATGAATGGCGAGAAGGAACATACACACTCAAGAGTTTCTTCCGTGCGTCGTCCACTCTTCTCGTCGACCAACACATGTCCTCCAGGGACAACCTCACAACTGGCGAGGAGGACCAACGACGATCAGAAGGACCTCACGAGCATCCTCCTCATAGGGTTGACACTTAACACCTCTGAATGCCATGAATTATTTGAGTTTCTTTTTGTTTAAGAAATTATTATGATTGGTCTTTGTACTAGATACTAGAGTGGTGTTGATACCATATTTGAATGGTCTTGTACCATCAGAGGGTATATTTCTAGACTGATTATCTATCATTTAAGTAGTAATCATACAATATAAAACTGTGCTGTTTTATCCTGGAGGCGACGCGATAGTTCGACTGCTTTGCATAATTTTGAGCAGTGCTGCAAAATGTCTTAAAGAGAGCGACCTTGTTCGCGACTCAAACTGGTAATTTCTTCGGTGGCAAATATTTCAAAATCTGAAAACAAAAATTTTAAGACGTTTCAAACTTCCATGGCTACCGAATAAATTATTGGTTCTTTTGCGGATATTGTATTTGAGAAATCGTTCATGTTTGAGGAAAGTCACTTCAAACGTTGACAACAAAAGATGAAGTTCTTAACATTGAAAAATAGTTTCTAACGTTCTGATCGATGACATTCTATTGCTCCTTCTGGATCAATCGAACAAAATAACGGTAGTAAATCTAGAGATTTAGAAGGAACACTTAATAGTGTTGAAGTTAAATCTCCTACACAAATTAAAGTGAACGATTTACAACATATGAAAGAAATCACCTTAGAGAAAGAGAATAAAAATCTCTACAAAATCATATTTTGAATAGACTCGCAGATGATCTGTATGATAATTACAGTTGATGTGATACTGCAAAGTAAGATTGAGAGACTCAGAAAAAGAAGTATGACATATAAGCTGAAGTAAAGAAGTATGTTGTTAGCCGCTACTTCAAGTATCAAATGCAAAGATGTAAGGTCGATGGAGGCTCAATGTTACGAACTTCAAAAGATTGCTTAAAAGATCATCACAAAAGGTATGTGTTTAAATGAACAATTTCAAATTGTTTTTATTATTGACAAACTACCCCATAGTGTGAATGTTTAAAAAAAAGGAAATCTTAGAGACAATATCAAAAAGAAATTTTTTTGGTTGTTTCAAACAATAAAAAGAAATTTGGTGTAGTTCTGAAGCCATTTGGCAAATGATTAAAGAATCAGAACCGCAATATTGTGAATCGAATTAAGAATGGGAACCTTCTATGATCCCAATAGCTCCAACTAGGCACCAACCACCACCTAAAATAAATGACGTTGATTTCCCTTTGTTTTAACTATGGAAAATCAAGTCATATGACTAAGAAATGTAGAAGTAAGCTTGAACTTGGTGTTGTCCCTAATGCACAGGTCAACCTAACTAATGGGCAATTTATTTATATAGTAATTGAAATCAACAAGGTTGGTGGATAGACACTTGTGTCTCTCGTTGTGTCTGGTATGATCGTGTTATGTTTAAAACATACACGAATACTAAAGATAAGAAAGTGTTGTTGGGAGAAGGCCAGACCGCGAATGTTGCTGGAATTGTAGACATGGAGCTAAATTTCACCTTCAAAAAGACTTTAATCTTAAAGAATGTTATGCATGTTCCTAATATTAGAAAGAATATTTTTTGTGGTTTTCTTTTAAATAAGACAGGGTTTTGGTCAGTATATTGGGGTAGATTTGTACGCCATTACGAAGAATGAAGTTTATATGTTTAATATTTTTGTAAAGAATTTGAAAATGATATAATAAGAATTTATAGTGATAGAGAAACTGTATGATTCTAGTTTATTAATGAATTTTATACATGGAATTGTACATGAAACGACTTCACCATACTACCTTATAATGAATGGTAAAGTAGAAAGAAAGAATAAAACTCTTACCGAACTTGTTGCAATTATGATGAATTCTGGTGCTGCACCTCACTGATGGGGAGAAATTTTATTGACTGTTTGTTATGTCCTGAATAGAGTCCCCAAGTCAAAATGTAAGATCTCTCCTTATGATATATTAAAGAAAAGACAACCAAACTTGTCTTATTTGAGAACTTGGGGTTGTCTGACTTATGTCAGAATTCCGGATCCGAAACGAGTTAAACTCGCTAGTAGAGCATATGAATATGTTTTCATTCGGTATGCAGAAAACATTAAAGCATATAGGTTTTATGACTTAAAGGAAAAAGTGATCATAGAATCAAATGATGTTGAATTCTATGAAGACAAATTTCCTTTCAAATTGAGAAATAGTGGGGGCACACAATCGAGTCACATTCCTGTGATAAGAAGCACAAAAAGCAATGACAATGTAGAAATAGAACTTCGACGAAGTAAACAAGTAAGAGTTGCTAAAGACTATAGGCCTGATTATGCGGCTTATAATGTAGAAGAAGATCCAATGAATCTTCAAGAAGCCTTGTCATCTCTGGATGTTTATTTATGGCAAGAAGCTATCAATGATGAGATAGAATCTCTAGAATCTAACAAGACCTGGAACTTAGTAGACTTGCCTCCTGGTTGCAAACCAATCGGTTGTAAATGGGTTTTGAAAAAGAAACTAAAACCTGATAGAACTATTGATAAATACAAGGTTCTCCTTTTTGCCCAGGGTTTTAGACAAAGAGAAAATATATATTTCTTCGACACCTTTTCTCCTGTCACTAGAATTACATCCGTTAGGGTACTTATTTCAATAGCTGCTATTTATAACTTAATAGTACACCAAATGGATGTTAAAATAACTTTTATAAACGATGACTTAGAAGAAGAAATCTATATGAAACAAACGGAAGGGTTTGTGATCTATGGATAAGAAAAACAATGTCTGTAAGTTAGATAAGTCTTTGTATGGGCTAAAATAAGCTCCAAAGAAATGGCATGTAAAGTTTGATAACTTAATGATATCGAATGTGTAAAAGTGAATGAAAGTGACAAATATATTTATTACAAATTTGAGAATTGTATTTGCACTATTATATGTCTATATATATACGATCTACTCATATTTGGATCAAACATTCAAGCTATTAATGATATGAAATCATTGTTGTGCAACAACTTTGATATGAAAGACCTCGGAGAAGTTAGTGGGATTCTTGGTATCAAGATCATCAAATTCGAGCAAGGAATTTCTTTGGATCAATCACAATATGTGAAAAAGATCTTAAAGAAATATAATTACTTTCACAGTAAACCTATGAGCACAACAAATGATCCAAGCGTGAAGCTGTTTAAGAATATTGGTGAAAATGTTAGACAAACAGAACATGCGAGCATCAATGGAAGTCTTGGGTATTCCATTGATTGTACTAAACCCGGCATTGTATATGTCGTGGGATTGTTGTGCGGGTTTACTAGTAGAACGAGTAGTGAACATTGACAAGCTATTGAGCGAGTCATACGGTATCTTAAAAGGACCATGAATCTCGGTTTACATTATCAGAGATTTCCTATTGTACCTGAAGGATACAATGATGCAGATTGGAATACCTTATCAGATGATTCTAAAGAAACTAGTGGCTATGTATTCAACATAGCTAGAGGAGTTGTATCTCGGAAATCAAAGAAACATACTATCTTAAGAATATAGCATTAGCGACTGCTAGTGAAGAAGCAAGTTGGTTAAGATTCTTGCTAACTAAGATTCCCTTATGGGAAAAACATATGTCAGTTATGTTGATCCACTGTGATAGTACCGCGACTATTGCAAAAATTAAGAACCGTTATTATAATGATAAAAGAAATCAAATTAGAAGAAAGCACAACACTGTTAGAGATTGTATCTCTAAAGGAGCTTTAAGAGTGGATCATGTATGCACTGATGAAAATTTAGCAAATCCTTTGATGAAAGGATTAGCTAGAGAGAAAGTCTAAATATAAGATGAGACTAATGCCTATAGGAAAATGAGTTGCTCGTGATGGTAACCGACCTAAATGACTGGAGATCCCAAGAAATAGGTTCAATGGGTAACAACAAGTTGTGAGTAATATGAGATGATCATGCAAGTAAAGCATGAATCCTGAAGTAATAAGATG